CCTGTCCCAGTCAGATGCGCAGGTCCTTCTGGATATGGTGGCGGGACTGGATCCAGCCGTACGGGTGATCCTGGACGTTGGAGCTCGGATATTGGAGCTGAGTAACTTGGAGGTTGCCAAGACCTGGTTGGAGATGATCGGTGATGATAGCAGAACGCAGGCCGTGGTCTTTATCAACGATGACGATGAGATTACCGTGGTGAACCGGACTGGACTCGTCGAACCGCTGCGGACGTCACCTTTCGAAAGGCACCTCGACCAATGCCTTGTATTCCTTGACGAAGCACACACGAGGGGGATTGATCTGATGCTACCCCTGGAAACCCGGGCGGCGGTGACGCTGGGACCGAGTATCACCAAAGACAAGCTGGTTCAAGGTCAGGGAGTCCCAAGAGAACGGCCAAGTGTACCTTTCACTAACAGCTACCACAGCATGTATGAGGATGAGAAAATTAGGGCAAGGCCAATCGGTGGTGTTTTGCATTCCGGAAGAGATCAAGTTCAAAATTCTGACTCTCTGTGGGGGGTCCCACGAATCTGATCTTACTGTAGCAGACGTGCTCCGCTGGGCAATCTCGGAGAGCTGGGACGATATGCAACGCAGCATGCCTTTGTGGGCCGTGCAGGGAAAGCGATATCAGACCCAGGCCCGTCATTGGCGGGCGTTGCGACAGGACGGGCAAACCTCGATATCCAGATGTCAGGCAGAAGGGTTTCTAGAGCCGGAATCCCAGTCGCTAGAACAGCGATACCGTCCTGGTCGTCGGAATGATCTAGCTCTTTTCCCCCAGCGCACCGACGATGCGGACTTGTGTCGCATACTGGACCGATGCCGTGAGTTCGCCACGGTGAAGTTCTCTGCAGCGCAGCTCCAGGAAGAGCAGGAGCGAGAGCTAGCACCAGAGATCGAGCAGGAACGACAAGTTCAACGTCCGGCCCCTGCCGAGCCGGAATCGCATTCCGTGCATCCCGACATACGCTCGTTCGTGGCCACTGGACATCTGGATGCATCGTCCACCGCAGTGAAACCAGCTTTTCGGGTGCTAGCAAATACATCAGCGGCCAAATTCCTGGATGTGGCCCGATTCCCATCGGAGCTCCTTGTCACCAAGGATTTTGCTAGAACAGTCCGACTGCCCGAGATAGTGACCAGCGTGCGGTTGAATGGGTCCTGCTGAGCAACGACCATCCCTCCAAGGACGGAACGCCCGTAAGGCAGATAGTGATCATCAGCCCGTATGAAGCGAACAAGCTTCATTCCGACATTCGGGGGTCGGGCACAGTAAGGATGCATCTCTATGCACCTCGTCAAAACCAGAGCTCATACCCTGTCGATAAGTTCGATCTATATCCGATTCCAGCGGTCTTAAGCACAAGGCCCCTGCGAGTCCCTGAGAGCCTACGCATCCAACTGAACCTCTTCGCGGGGCAGCTCTATATTTCGTCGTACCGTGAGTATTGTGAAATATGCCGCTTCCTGGGGGTGGCATCCACTGCCGCACCAGAGGGCTTGGCTGTCGCCGCGGATGGGTTCATCGTGGAGCAGCAGGAGGCAGGAGCCAAGTTCACCAAAAGCCCCCTCCGGTTCCTCAGGGTGTTCATGTCCCAGATACGGAAGGACGGGCAGGAGATTGACAAAACCCACCTGGGCAAGATCCTCGACGGGAAACTTTTGCTCATGGCTGACTTCCAAGATGGCAAAGGCAGAGCGCGGACCATGCAGCTGAGTCTTCGAAATATTCCGCTGTGATGTCTCGAGCGAACAGCATGCTAGGGCGGCAGGAAGTGGACTTTGATCGTTCTCAGTGACTGGTGCTTGGCTTCAGGCTGGGCCTGATCAGCTTGCTTCCAATGCAGCAATAGAGCTCCAGATTCGTCTCGTCGTAGTCGTAGAGGTTTTGATGATAAGTCTCTCTAGTTTTGTCCCGATATAGCATGTGCTTTGCTCTCTTGACGGACCCTATCCCACTTGGCTAAACTGAAATGGCGATGTAAAGAGGATGGTTGGTTTTGAGCCCGACGAATACTGATGCGACAATCTTCTCGATGGTGGGAGTCACAAAGTAGAACGCTTGGTCAGTCACCAGCACTGGGGGAACTATGAGATTGTTGAGATATTTAAAGATTAAAACCAGCTATTGCATGTATCATACATGGGTGGCCGACTGGCTTACATGGTCCACTTAGCACTACGTTACTCGGTGTTCCTGTGCAAGGTCGCATCATCAATTCCTGTATTATCCACAACGGCACAGAATATCCCGTCGGTATCGTATCATCGGGAGATGTTTACATAGACATCACAGGCAGAGCCCAGTTCCACATCGACAGGGGCATTCAAACCAACCCCTCCCCCGAGATCAACCCTAAGTCCAACTCATCCAGCCAACTCAAGAACCCCTCCGAGGCAAGTCCCACCCCGAGCGCCTCGGACGGAAGCTGGAAGCCCTCGACAAACCCCGGCGGTAGGAACTCGCCCGACTCCCGAACCATCGCAGCGACCACATCGCCAGCCGTGGTGCCTGCTCCTCCCGCCTCCCCCTGCTGATGATTCAGCGCATCGTCCAACAACCGACTCACCACCTTGGTCAGCTCCCCGGCGGCGACGGCGGTGGTCGACGGCGGCAGCTGCGTGGCCTGTACCCAGGCGAGGAGCACGCTGAGCGAGCGGATGATCTCGGCGCGCGGGGTGGCCGCCGGGAAGGCGCGGTTGGCGAGGGTGTGGCTGTGCAGCTCGGTGACGAGGATGCCAGCGGCGGGGATGCCGTAGCTCAGGTACTGTTGTCTCTCTTCGTTAGTGTCATCTTGAGGGTAGAAGGGGAGTTGGGCTTGGAGTGGGTAACGTACGATGCAGGCGAACTGGCGCTGGATCTCGTGGGAGTGGAACATGCGCGTCAGGTCCATGACCATCGACAGCACCTGCAGGGCGGTGTTCATCAGGTCGGCGGTGGCGTTGGCGCTGTTGGTCTTGCAGCGGATGCGCTGCAGGTGCAGCACGCTGAATTGGTAGTCGAACTGCACGAGGATCCGCGCCAGGGATTCCATCAGCTCGCCCTCGGGGGTGTGCCAGCAGTGCGGGGTGTAATGGAAGCGAGTGGGGATTTGTGTGAGGACTTCTTGGCAATGGTGGTATGTTTTTCTTAGTTTGGTTAGTATTGGGAGTACACCAAGGAGAAGGAGACTTGAAAGTGGAACGGGCTACGGGACATACTGCACACGATCGCCGTAGTCGGCAGCGGATTTGTTGCCCAAGGAAAGTTCCAGGACCTGTTCGCGGAGCGTGGACAGGAAGTGGCGGATGCGCATGACCGTCGCGGGCATGAAGCTGCTCTCGCGGTGCCAGCCTTGGTCGTCCAGACCGGCAAGTACGGCGCTGAGGGACGGCCCGTCGAGGAAGAGATTCTCGTCCGCGATGTCTAGCGGTGGGGCTGCATCGCAATATTGGTGCGGAAGACGCGGAGGACGCCCCATCAGCGTGGCCAGGTTCTTGTCCGTGCGATGGGTGACGGCCAACATGCGCTTCCTCGTCTCCGCCAGGAAAAAAGGCACGTCGCGCGAGGGCTGGTGGTGGAGGCCGATGGTGTAGATGTTGGAGATCAGGTCGCCGAAGAGGCTGTAGAGTCGTTCACCTATTCGTTCGTGAGTGTGATGCTGAGTATACACAACAGCCAAGCCAGGCACTTACTAGTGTCGCCCAGCACCTCCATCGCCAGATGAGCATGCATGTATCGCGCCCACAGGATCAGATCATTGACGTGCCCGAACTGTTTACTGATCTCGATGCACGCGTTCCCTGCCAGGACCATCTCCTTCATGAACGTCTCCACGGTCATCGTCTCCCCGTGCGCCAGCTCCACGACATGGTGACCAGGGTACCGGACCATGGCGCTGATTCCGGAAGAGGCGAATACCAGGGCGATTAACTCCCACCGGAGGTTCGGGCCGGTGAATTGCGCGTAGAAGTCGCCGGGCGACATGTCCCTCGAAACTTCGAGGGGCCGTCCGGTCGCGGCGGTGATGGTCTCGTAGAGCTCCTTCCACTTGCCCGTGACGTCCCACGGGTTGCGGTCGGTGTACGCCTGCACTCGGTCCAGCGAATCCAAAATAATCGGAGCGGGCACCACGGTGAACCGGCTGACGCGATGGTACCACTCGATCTGGTCGCGGTGGAAGGCCATGGCGGAGGCCAGGCGTATCAGCCGCGACGACGCGTAGGCATGCTGGGTGCGCCAGTACTCGAACTCGGCGTAGAGGGACCGGTTCGCTTTGCCGGAGATCCCGCGCGGAGTCTCTTTGAACACGGAAAGATAGCTTGTCGAGCCCAGGAATTCGGAGTCTTGCCCGTGTTTGGTCTCGGGGTCTGTCCGCGGTTGGTCTGGCGCTGCAAGCTCCGGCGTCGGACTTCGGTCGGGAACCTCCAACAAAGATCGGTGGATTGCTCCTCGTTTTGGTGTCGCACGAGGGCGCGCAATGCCCCCATCCTTGACCCGCGTCAAGGGGGCGGGGTGGTAATAGCACTGCAGTTGTCATTGTCAGCTGTGAGACAGAAATGAGTCATCTGGACTGTACCTACCTGATTGGCATTGCCACGCGATTGGCACCGTCGGCAGATGGGAGTCGCATGGTCACAGCGGACCTTAGAGAGCCGACATGGCTCGCACGAGGTCGGCTTTCCGTTGCGACGAAGCATAAGACGTGGTGATGATTAGGGTGATGGTCAGGAATAAAAGGCAGGAATGGTGGAGAAAACTAGCTTATCGCTTATCGCGTATCGCTTATCGCCGGCAGCGCGGCTCGGAGTCCGGCATAGACGGTTGATTCCGATGCCGATGTAGACACTGTGAATGTGCAGTCGTTTCTAATGATGTGTTTATCTAGAGTTGGGTTAGGATATGTATCACGCCATTGTACTCTTGGCATTCGCATGATGCCTGGGATTAGTCTATATATAAACTGTCAGCACTACTCTAGCCGCTACATCTACTCCTCACCAACCCCTTGTACTCCGGCACGTATCCTCAACACAATATACAACCAACACCATCAGAAAACTCCCGACCAGTCATCCCCACCAAAAACCTACCCAATGCCACCCTGCACCCTCGAGCCCATCAATCTAGCCGATCCCACGCAACACACAGAACTCCAACGCCAACGCACCCTCTGCGGCTGGGACCACCAGCCCACCACCCTGGCGCAATGGCACGCCAGACAAACCGAAGGCCTGAAGAACTTCTTCTGGATTGTCATCCCCAGCCCCAATCCCAACCCTGACGTTCAAACGAACACCATCCGCGCCGGCCACATCTCCCTAGACGCCTACAGCAACCCCCCGGACCCGGACCTCGCGCGATCCGACAGATCCATCCTCGCCCTGCAGACCTTCTTCGTCCTCCCAGAGTACCGGTCCGCCGGGGTAGGCCGCCACGCCGTGAAGCTCATCGAGGAGCAGGCCGCCCGCGAGCCAGCCTGCCAGTTGATCGCGCTGACGGCGCTGAGCAAGAAGTACCGGTACCAAGAGGGGCGCGAGTGGCGCGGGATCTGGGAGCGGATGGGCCAGCCCGTGCCCCCGTTCAGTATCCAGGAGTGGTATGAGAAGGCCGGGTATGTCGGGTGGAAGGAGGAGCCGCGGTACGAGGAGCGGAGCTTGGACGGGGAGGTGATTTGGCTGTGGGAGGTGTTTATGCGGAAGGAGGTGAGGCGGGGTGCTCCGTTGAGTGGAAAGGTGTAAGACGGACATTGAGGCTGTGTGTTTTTCTGGAAGGTGGTTTGACGTGGTGGAGATGCCTTTGGGCGTGAGGGACATTTCAACACCACGGATGTTTTATGCGCCAAGGGCTTGGGGATTCGTATCCACGTACGCTCTTCGGCGTCGGAAACCCAAATCTTATGCTTGCTAGGCAGACATGATGTTCAACTCTAAATTCTGTTAGGAGAAAAATGGTTTGGTACATGGTCGAAGGAAACGTGGTGCTTCGAAGAAACTATTGTGTATGCCTGTATACAATAAAGGGTTCATACAATAAAGACATAACGCGGCGCCGTTAGCGGTCTGAAACCCACGTTGGCCGTTGTTTGTCAAACCACTGCCATGTGCAGATGATCACTTTCGCATCAGACTTAATGATATTAATAGCGGGTTCCGACCGTGGGCTGGGGGATGTCAACCACGATTTCATTGTGCTAGTCGATCCAGCTGACGCACCATCACCTTAACGGCCATTGAGCATCCAACCGTGGGATGGATTCTTCACGCAGAGAAGGTGACGTGGTTTGTCGTGGATTCTCGTATTATCCTAGTAGTATCTTGCAGAATATCTCATGACATCATGAACTTTTCTCAATCGAGGGTTCCTCTACTTCGTAGACCCTAGCAATGAGGTGGTCAGATTAGAGGATGGCTGAGCTCTCACTCAAAGTTTCCTACCTGGCTAAATTACTCAATCGCGAACGGGAATATGATGGAAACCTGGGAAGCACACGGGTCCATTCCGAGCCCCCCGAAACGGGCCTAGTTGCAGATCCCAGCGGGGCGCACCATTGATGTTCAATGCATCAATGCATCAATGCTTTTTTATTGAACCACCCACACCCACACCCAATCCCAAACAAAACCCGTCCTTTCAACCCAGCTCTGCGGTTCTTTGTCACTGCCCTCCAAACAAAAGATCGTGATTTCATTTCCCGTATCCCTCGTCATCGTCAAAAAAAAACAATCCCCCCTTGCCAGAAAAATCCTCCCCTCACTGAAGGTCCACCCCGACCGGGGGACGTAACCGGAGAAAGATGGACCAAACCCAAGAACCCTAATGCAAGGGCGCGCGCAAGGGGATTTCGGTCGTGGAATTGGACGCTGTCAGTGTCAGTCCTCCTCAAAGCAAGCGAGCCAAGGGGGAAAAGTAATTTCCCAATTGCGAGACGCAGATTGGTGCGTTGCGCATGAAATTGCGGTCTCAGCAGCTGGGCAAGGAAGTAGGACAGATACACAGGTACGAAGTGCCTTGGGCAGACGGACGGGGGAATCACGTTCCGGGTGAGACAGGTTCGATACGATGATGATCGACCCCCTCGACCCCCCCCCATGCCTTCGATAATTGGTTTGTACAGGAATTACAGAGATGCCTACGGTAGCCAAGACAGGGCCAGCCACAATGAAACCTGACCGCTGGATCGATATAAAGGAAGTAGGCCCTACCACCGGGGGTGAGGGAGAGTGAACGTCCACTCGTGTCTCCGTCTCCGTCTCCGTCTCCGTCTCCCAGTCTACCATGCGGGCATTTCGACTCCTCCAGACATTTCTGGGGTTAGGTGTGTTTCCCGACCCAGGCTGAGAGTGGACACCTACACAGAAAGAAGTCTAACAGCAGAGTCCAGCCCCCCTAGCAACGGCCAACATCGTGACCTTCTCCCCGTCCACCGCCCACCCGAACCTCACCTACAGCGTGACCGTCCCAGACACGACGACGCAGCAAAACGGCGGCGCGATCTACCTCCAGATCCGGGCCCCGCGCAGCCTGCAATGGGTGGCGCTGGGCCAGGGCACGGGGATGGCGGGCGCCAACATCTTCGTCGTCTACGCCGGCGCGTCCGCCACGAACCTGACCCTCTCGCCGCGCCTGGGACGCGGACACATCGAGCCGCAATACACCGAGCTGGCCAACGCAACCCTCCTCCCCAGCAGCAGTCTCACCGACGACACCATCGAAGCCAACATCCTCTGCACGAACTGCCTAGCCAGCTGGTCCTCCCCCTCCTCCACCCGTTACCCGCCCTCCGCCCCCTCCGCCCCCTTCATCTGGGCCTACCACACCGGCGACCCACTCCCCTCCGCCTCCCCGCAAGAGACAATAACCATCCACACCGAAATGGGCAGCACGACCCTCGACCTCACCAAAGCGCAATTCTCGGCCCCTTCCCCTGCAAACGCCACAAACACCGAATTCAACCCCTTCAACCCAACCTCCGCCTCCACCACATCCACCCCCCAGAACCACAGCGGAACCTCCCTCCCCTCCCCCACCAAGACCCGCTCCCTCCTCATCGTCCACGGCACCCTCATGGCCCTCGCCTTCCTCCTGTGCTTCCCGCTCTTCGCCCTCCCCATCCCCTTAGGAGTCAGATACAACATCCCCGCCCTCCACGCCCCCCTCCAGCTCTTCACCCTCTGTCTCACCATCGTCGGCCTGGGGACCGGCGTGTACCTCGCCACCACGGTCTCCACCATCAAGCACGCGCACCCGATCATCGGGATCATCCTCGTCGGAGTCCTGGTGCTCTTCCAGCCATTGGCGGGATACCTGCAACATCGGCATTGGAGGCGCGAGGGCGCCAAGAGTGTGTTCGGGTATGTGCATCGGTGGGTGGGGCGGGGGGCGATCGTGCTCGGGATGGTGAATGGGGGGTTGGGGTTCGGGCTGGCGGGACGGGGCATGGGCGGGGTCGGGAGTCGGAATGTGCCCGTGGCTGCGGTGGTGGTTTATTGTGTTGTGGCGGGGTTGGTGTGCGCGGTGTATGTGATGGGCGTGGTTTGGGGGAAGACCAAGGTTTTTCATCGGGAGGGGGATAGGAGTAAGGAGGAGGGAGGGGAGAGGGGGAGTGGGAGTGGGAGTGGGAGTGGGGATGGCGCCGGGAAGAGGGGGGGCGCACACCGGGAGAAGATCTAGCTTTGCGTTGCTTTGCTTTGCTTGGGATGGCGGTTCTTGGGTTGGTAGATTGGTTGGGTTTGGATTGAAGGCGGATTTAGGGTTATGTTTGACCGAAAGGGTGAGATTAATGTTTAGTTCATTCGTGTCTATGTTCAGTAATAGTTGTGGTATAGTTGTGGTATAGTATGGTCGGTACGCCTAGAACTTCAAGACGGCCTTGCCCTTGTTCTTCCCATAAAAGATCCCCACCAAGCCCTCGGCCGCGTTCTCAATCCCCACCGTCTCGTGCGTCAGCGCCTTGAACGACCCCTCCTTGATCCACTTCTGCACCTTCTCCTGGTGCTCCTTGGTGTACTTGTCGCCCATGCCGGGGTCGTTGACAATGAATCCGCGCATGGTCAGCCGCTTGGTCAGCACGTACGAGATGTTGCTGATCGGGTAGGGGGTGCCGTTGTACACGGAGATCATGCCGCAGACGACGACGCGGCCGAAGTTGTTGATCGCCTCCAGGGCGGCCTCGAGGTGCTCGCCGCCGACGTTCTCGTAGTAGATGTCGATGCCGTTCGGGGCGAGGCGCTTGAGCGCGTCCGCCGGCTTCTCCTTCTTGTAGTTGAACCCGCCGTGGAAGCCCAGCTCCCGGGTGATGTAGTCGAGCTTCTCGTCAGAGCCCACGCTGCCGATGACCGTCAGGCCCTCGTGCTTGGCCAGCTGGCCGACCAGCTGGCCCACGGCGCCGCTGGCCGCCGACACGAAGATCGTCTCCCCCTCCTTGGGCTGCCCGATCTCGTACAGCGACGAGTACGCCGTCAGCCCCGGCATGCCCAGCGCCCCGATGAACACCCGGATGTCCTCAATGCCCAGCGGGTTCTCGAGCTTCTTGACGTACGGCAGCCGCTCCGCGCCGACCGCGATGTACGACTGGATCGGGAGGTAGCCCTGGATCAGGTCGCCCTCCTGGTAGGCCGCGGTGTTGGAGCGGAGCACCTTGCCGATCACCGCGCTGTCGATGGGCTGGCCCAGCGCCATGGCCGGCGAGTACGACTTGACCTCGGCCGGGCGCATGCGGCCGCGCATGTACGGGTCGAAGCTGGCGTAGAGCGACTGCACGAAGATGCCGTTCTCGGGGGCCGCCGCGTTGGCGTCGTACGAGACCGGCTCCAGGCCGATGTGCTGGCCCGGCACGGGGTAGCCCGTGGGGATTTCCTTGAAGATGAGGGCCTTGTTTTCAGACATGGTGTGTGTGTGGTTTGAGGAAAGTGTTGTGCCAGTGAGGTGACAGCAGCGGCCGCACCACCTTTATACGGCTGCTCCCAGTGGGGCAACGCCCCCAGGGTCGATTATCAAGCATCCAGGTTGCTGACGAAGCTGCTCCAAGGGGCGTCGAAGAAGCTTCTCGAGAGACTGGACTCCAGCTTTTGCCTAGGTACCTGCCAAATACAGTGAGGGCCCCGGGGGGGGGGGGGAGGGGGAGGGGTTTGCGGTTTGCCCAACCGTCCTCGTCACGACCATTCGCAGGCGGAGAAGCGAACCAGGGCACGGCGGGTGAGTGGAGCTAGCAGAGTTTCCAGACGGATGTAATTCGGGGCAGCTGCTCCTTCAGGGTGTAGATACGGGGCCGGATGGGGCAGGTCAGTGGTCTCGAAGGTTGGATTACCGGAGTTATGCAGTGGCACGGATCTAAGGCACTGCGAGACGGTGCGGCAGTTCTGGCGCCACCAGAGGAGATGGGGTGGGCGAAAGCCATGAAGTCATGATTACCGTGCAGCGTGAAGCAAAAACGGGGCGAACAGGTGGAAGTCAATTGGGGATTGAGTTTGAAGTGATGCTTCATGACTCGAGACGATGCACTGATGCAAACTGCACAAGGGGCGGCTGAGTCAGCCGTCAGCACTCAAATTTTCGCATTCTGCAGACTTGCCCGAACAGGACTAGATTATTAATCTCAGCAGTGGCCGTGACTTCCTCGGCTTTTTCCTCTTTAGGCTCTTGCACCGACTAATTCTTCTCTGGTCTGGTATTCTTTCCCGAACACTGCACTGCACATCCTCAACACATCTCCCAACGCCTTCTGCCTCGGTGCAACTTTCAGTACCCCCCCCGACGCCCTCCGCCCTCCTCCCTCATCGCCACCGCCGCTCCCCTCCCCTCCTCCCCAATCACCACCACGCACCGCCGAAACCGCCGACTGCGCACCCCCTGCTCGAACATCGCGTCCAGCTCCTCGAACGTGCGCCCCTGGGTCTCCGGCAGCCACCAGAAACACATGGCCGCGCAGACGAGGCTGGTACCCGCGAACAAGAACCCCAGCTTGCCGCCCCAGTCGCCCTCGTCCGCGTCCATGGCGTAGGGGATCACCACGGCGAACACCACCGACCACACGAAGCAGCTGACCGTGGCCAGGCCGATGGTGACCCCGCGCAGCCGCATCGACGAGACCTCGGCCAGCAGCACGTAGCAGAACGGGCCCAGGCTGACGTCGTACACCAGCGTGCACGCCAGCATGAGCGCGCACTGCGCCCAGGTCGTGCCCGTGCCGCGGGGGACGACGTCCAGCACCCCGATCAGCAGCTGCGTCAGGGCCAGCGCGGAGCAACCCGTCAGATACATGGTGCGGCGGCCGACGTAGGCCAGCAGCGGCCACGACAGGATGGTGCCCAGCAGGCCGAGGGCGCTCAGGCCGAGGTTCATCGAGAAGGCGTGCGAGGCGTTCAGCCCCGCCGTCTCCATGAAATGCACCGCGTAGTTGATGAAGAAGACATTGCCCGTGAAGGCTTGCATGCTGTAGGCCATGACGCAGATCAGGAGGCGGCGGCGGTTGGGGCCCTGCAGGCATTCCAGGCTTCTGGCCGTGGTGGGCGGCTGGAAGCTGGCCTCCAGACGCAGCGTCTCCTGGATGTGGGCGAGTCGGGGCCCGATGGCGCCCCCGCGGACGGTGAGGCGGCGCAGCGAGGCGGCGGCGGCCTCGGGGCGGCCCTGCCGGCACAGCCAGTACGGAGGGTCCGGGCAGAACGGCACGAGGGCCAGCATGATGCACGGCAGGGCCCATTGCGTGGCGATGGGGATGCGGTAGGACCAGTCGCTGGCGAGGGAGGTGGTCCCCTTCAGGATGCCCGAGGCGATCAACGAGCCGATGGAGAAGGCCAGGTTGGTCATCGTGGCGGCGAACCCGCGCAGCGGCAGCGGGGTCACCTCGCCGACGTAGGCGGAGGCGCAGATGGGGTAGAAGGCGATGACGCAGCCGTTGATCAGCTCGCCCACGAACAGCTGGGCGGGCGTCTGGCTGAAGAACTGCACGAAGATGAAGCCGATCGACAGACACGAGCACCCCGTGAGCACGATGCGCGGCCCGAAGCGGTCGTAGGCGAGGCCGGCGAACAGCGCCCCGACAATGGCGCCCAGCAGGTTGGCGTAGTTGAAGGCCGACAGCCAGCGGGCGGCCAGAATGTAGCGTCCCTCATGCTCGTAGCCGTAGTTCTGCTTGAAGACGTCCAGTCCGACTATGCCTTTGACGACGCCGCCATCCTGGTCTGTCAGTTCGTAGTTCGTGGATCGAGGGTCAGTCGGTGAGTAGCATAGCACATACAATTCCTTTCAGGATCGTCGCCTATCAATTGTCAGTCTGTGTCCGGAATTGAGCGATGCTGCAGAAGATCCGCACGCGCGAGACTTCTTCGTACCAAATTCATGAATAATGCCCACGCCACGGTTGGCCAGTGCTGTCGCAGAGCGGGCCAGAAGGTCAACGCATGCTCCGCCGCGAGGAACTCCTGCGAGCTTTCGGCGTCCTGCAGCGAGGCTGTGGGAATTGCCTGGATCACGATCTCGTCTTTCTCGTTCTTCTCATCCTTCATCTTGCCAGTCTGTCTGAATTGACGATTTTCGAGAATGGGAAGACCGGCGAAGGGCAGACCCGGCGACCGCAGTTTTCTTCCTCGCTTGCCGCCATTGTCTTGGCCGTCTTGGCCGATGGACCTTGGGGACGAAGCCAAGTGCTGAGTGCGGTGGCTATGTGAGGTGGCTATGGATCGTGTAGTTTTTTAGAGGGTTGGGATATTCGTCCAGAGGCCGTCGGAAAAGCCAACGACGCCAAACTCGGCAGCCAAACATGAAGAAACACAGCGTAACCCCGCACGTGCCGATCCTAAAGTCAAAGCGAGGCGTGCATCCAATAACCGACGCATGCGGCAGCCGAGCTGTAGGACCATTCAAGCCTCCGGGCAGGCCTTCGTCCAACACGGGTTAAGCTTCTCGTGCATCGCAGCCCCAGATTTATCCCGTATACGAGTCTTCTCGGCTTGTGGGCGGCGCTGAACCGAGAGGAGGGTATAAAGTGCCTGACGCTCTCCCCCTGCTCGGTCACTTTGCAGTGATCATCATCTCACTGCAGCCATAATCTGAGAAATCCAGTACTGAACAGTACTCCACCCACCACCATGGCGCTCGACACTACTGTACTCCCCTCCTCCCCTATCCCCAAATCCCTCCCGCTTACCTTCCCCCCCCCCAAACCCTAACTAACCTCCCCACTCCAGCAATTCTACAACATCATCAACAACGAACGCACCACAACTCCCGAAACCCGACACAGCACCAACCCGACCACCGGCCACCCGAACCCCGCCGTCCCAGTCTCGCGCCCAGCCGACCTCGACACCGCCGTGCTGGCCGCGCAATCCGCCCTCCCAGCATGGTCCGCCACCCCGCTCTCGACCCGCCGCGCCCTCCTCGCCAGCTACGCCGCCCTCCTCGCAACCCACAAGGCCACCCTGGCCGCGCTCCTCACCCAGGAACAGGGCAAACCGCTCAGCCAGGCGCAGATCGAAGTCGACATGGCCATCACCTGGACGCAGCAGATCCCCCTCCTCGATCTTCCGGTGCACACCATCGAAGACACCCCGGACCGCCAGATCATCCAGCGCTACGTGCCCATCGGCGTGTGCGGCGCCATCGTCCCCTGGAATTTCCCCGTCCTGCTGGCCGTCGGCAAGATCGTGCCCGCCCTGGTCACGGGCAACGTGCTCCTCGTCAAGCCCAGCCCCTACACGCCCTACTGCGCGCTGAAGCTGGGGGAGCTCGCCGCCCAGATCTTCCCGCCGGGGGTCGTGCAGGTGCTGAGTGGCGGGGAGGAGCTGGGGCCCTGGATGACGGCGCATCCCGGCATCCAGAAGATTAGTTTTACCGGGTCCAGTGCCACCGGCCGCAAGGTGATGGAGGGGTGTGCGCGCGGGTTGAAGAGGGTGACGCTGGAGTTGGGGGGGAATGATGCCGCGATTGTGTGTGAGGATGTCGATGTGGATGCCGTGGTGCAGAAGGTATGTTTTTTTTTTTTTTTTTTTTTTTTGCGCCGGGGAGGGAAGGCATTGATCGGGGATGGAAGGATTCCAAGTCGGCTGGAGTTCGTTGGGCTAATTCGTGGATTTTCTTCTTTTTTTTTTTTTTTTTTTTTTTTGACTTGGACTTTGACTTGGTCCTTGTGAGTGACGAAGGAGAGTTTGGGCTGTGGGCGGAGGAGGTCCGTTGGTTGGGGGGGGTGATGTCTCAAATTGTAGACTTGGGATCTTGGTTGTGGAGTGCCGGGTGGAGTGGAGAGGTCGCATATCTTGGTCCAGCACTGACGATCACCACCAGATCGGCACCATCGCCTTCCTCTGTTCCTCGCAGATCTGCATGACGATCAAGCGGCTGTACGTCCACGAGAAGATCTACGACCAGTTCCGCGACAAGCTCGTGCGGTTCGTGCGCGCCCTGAAGGTCGGCGACGGCACCCTCCCGGACACCTTCTTCGGCCCCGTCCAGAACCGCATGCAGTTCGACAAGGCCACCGACTTGCTGGCCGCGACCCAGGCGGCCGGCCTGCAGACCATCGCCGCCGGCGAGGTCCCCGCCAACCTCGGGGCAGGGTACTTCATCCCGCCGACGATCGTGGACAACCCGCCCGAGGCCTCGCGCGTGGTGCAGGAGGAGCCCTTCGCGCCGATCCTGCCGCTGCTCCGATGGGCCGACGAGGCCGACGTGGTCGCCCGCGCCAACGCCTCCGACTACGCGCTGAGTGCCTCGGTGTGGAGTCGCGATCTGGGGCGCGCGCGCCGCCTCGTCGACCAGCTGCAGGCGGGCTCGGTGTGGGTGAACTCGCACTTCGACGTCGCGCCCCACGTGCCGTTTGGCGGCCACAAGGCCAGCGGGATGGGCACGGAGTGGGGGGTTCATGGGCTGGTGGGCTGGTGCAATTCGCAGACCTTGTGGTTGAGGAGTCAGCTGTAGCTGTTACTCGAACTTTGAATGATAACACTGTGGGCATTTAGTAAACTGCTCTTGAATCTATACATCTATACTGCATTCTCTATCCGCATCCATCTTCTGAAATCTAATACGAAATCCCCCGCAGATACTCCCCCAATGCCATGATCGCCATCGCCTGCCCATACGGCATCGCCGTGCGGGGGATCTCCTTGTAGAACTGCAGACTGTCGCCCATGCCCGTGCCAAAGCTGGTATTCTGCAGCTCGCCGTGCGCGTCCACCGCGCCCACGACCGCCGCGATCGCCCGCTCCGCCACCCCCCGGTATTCCTTGCCGAGATACCTCTTCCGCACGGCCTTGAGGATCCCGTACGCAAACCCCGCCGTGGCCGAGGCCTCGACGTAGGAGTCCCGATGATCCAGCAACGTATGCCAGAACCCGTCCGCCTCCTGCAACCGCTTGAGGGCGGCGCACTGCGCCTCCAGCACGCTCAGCAAATGCACCCGGATGGGGTCGTGGTCCTCGAGCTCCAGCAACTCGACAATCTCCGGGATCACCATCGTAATCCAGCTATTCCCTCTGGCCCAGCGCGCCTCGGCGAAATGGTGGCCCTGGCCCTGGCCCTGGCCCTGGCCCGCCGTGCCGGAGTTTTCGGGGTCCGTAAACTGCCACCCATGGAAGAACAGCCCCGTCTTCGCGTCGAACAGATACTGCACGTGCAGCAGACACTGCCGCTTCGCCTCGGCCACGTAGTGCGGGCGGCCCAGCAGGCGCCCGATCTTCGCCAGCGGCAGGACGGTCATCATGAGCGTGTCGTCCCACAGCTGCTGGTGGTTTTCCGTCAGGTAGGTGATGTGCTGCATGCCGCCGTGGCGGGTGCGCGGCAGCTCGTGCATCGCCCACTCGGCCCAGGCGTCCAGCCAGGGCAGATAGGTCGCGTCGCGGGTCGTCTCATAGAGGTGGGCCAGCGTCAGGAACACCGCCATCGTGTTGATGTTCTTGGTCGTGCCGCCCTCGGCGAACCGCGCCGCGAACCACTCCTGCATGATCTGCAGGTGCTGCGCCGAGCCGGTCAGCTCGTAGTATTTCCAGATCCCGTACAGTCCCACCCCGTGCGTCCATTCCCAGCCGTGCCAGGATTTGGTGTCGATGATGCGGCCGTCGGGCAGGTGCAGGAGGAATTCGCCGGTGGGGTCGTGGATGTTGATCAGGTTGGTGATCAGGAGGTCGATTTGGGTGCGGATGGCCGGGGGCGTGAGGGGGGTGGGTTGGGTCATTTTGGTGGGTGGTTGGGTGGGAGGTTAGGGTTGGAGTTGGAGGGAGGTGGAAAGGGAGGGAGGATGGGAGGATGGGAAGGAGATACTTTTGAACGGTACTGAAGCGTGTCGGTAGAAGTAAGTAAGTGTAAGTACTGCTAGCTTCCAGCTTCAGCTCCAGCTTCTTTCTGTTTCTCCTCCCCCGCCTGCTCCCTCTGACTCGTCGTCATTTGTATCTTCGGGTCAGCGTCCGCCGAGCACGCTCCCCAGCCAAGTCCAACCCCTCCTCTGAAAAGAGCAGCGATTGGCGCCCTCGTGCAGTCTGCCCACCCAAGCAAAGCAAGCGAAGCGTGCGAAGCTCCAGTCCAAGACTTTTTCCCCGCGTTCTCGGGTCAATTCACTCCCGCCGGTTAATTTCCTGGCTCTGGAAAGGGTCTGCGGCTTGACCCGCCCCCGCGTATGGTGGTTTGTCCCATGGGGTAAAACTGGACCCCAGAGTAACAACAATCAACCACAACCCTAAGCGAGATGCATCAACCCAGGAGTTATTTGGCTATTCGCCTCCCACCACTGCACTACACTACACTACACCTGCTTTTCTCATTGGCGTGAAATTCACCCCCCGCGAAGGATTGGCCAAGCAAAACAATAAACGAGATGGCAAGGTCACGTTCTCTACGGAGTACCCCTACACCGTATAAAGTAAAAGACCTGCGTCCCCCTGCCCCCTTCCCCTACCCCCTGATCTCCCCTCCCCTCCTGCGTCCATCCACACTACTCCGCATAGTGGACATCGAACCATGGCGGAGCATATCACCGACACCACCCTGTCGCACCGACATGGCTCCAACGAAGAAGACAAGTCCGCCCAGGCGACCGCCCACGTCGAGCGGGTGCTCTCGCCGTCGGACGGGGACCTGAAGAAGGGGCTGGGGGCCGACGCGGCCCGCGTCGACGAGGAGATCGCGGCGTACGCGGCGAGCGGCGCGGTCGAGGTCGACGAGGCCACCAGCCGGCGGCTGCGGCGCATGATCGACCGGCGCGTGCTGGTGGTGATGATCCTGACGTATTTCCTGCAGGCGCTGGACAAGGGGACCATGTCGTTTGCGTCGATCATGGGGATCCGCACGGACACGGGGATGAAGGGGCAGGAGGTGGGTTGTTTCCTGGAGCATGTTGGGCTGCTTTACTGATAGCTGATCATGGTGGCGGCAGTACTCCTGGCTCACGACCTGCATCTACATCGCCGTCCTGATCGTCGAATACCCGACCAACTGGATCATCCAGCGCGTGCGCATCGCCAAATACCTGGGGGTGAACATCATCCTGTGGGGCACCATCCTGGCGCTGCACGCCGCGTGCAAGAACTTCGCCGGGCTGGTCGCCGTGCGCACCCTGCTGGGCATCTTCGAGGCCGCCTGCCAGCCCACCTTCGTCCTGCTGTCCAGTATGTGGTACAAGCGGGAGGAGCAGGCGGCCACCGTGACGTACTGGTATGTCCTTTTCCCTTTCCCTGACCTGCCCCCTCACCACCATGCTAAGGCCAATAAAACCAGGTACATGATGAACGGCGGCCAGCAGATCGTCGGCGGGCTGCTGGCGTACTGCTTCAGCCTGATCGGCCGCCACGGCCCCACCGTCCTCAAATCCTGGCAGGCCCTGTTCCTGACCTACGGCTGCATCTCCGTCCTCTGGGGCTTTTTCGTGCTGTGGTGGATGCCCGACTCCCCCATGAAGGCCAAATGCTTCAACGAGGAGGACAAGCACCTGATGGTCGAGCGCGTGCGCGCCAACCAGACCGGTCTCCAAAACAAAACCTTCCGCGCGTACCAGATGTGGGAGGCCTTCCAGGACCCGCAGATGTACTGCTACTGCGCGATCCAGGTGTTCACGACGCTACCGACGAGCGGGCTGGGCGCGTTCGCCAACATCATCATCACGGGGTTTGATTTCACCGAGCTGCAGACGCAGCTGCTGGCGATGGTGCTCGGGTTTTACATCATCTTCGTGCTGTTGACCAGTGCGTTCCTGGTGAAGCGGTATAACCAGAATATTCTGGTCATGTTGGGGTTTATTGTTCCGTGGGTTGCCCCCATCTTTTCTTTTACCCGGGAATAGAGCTGGGGCAGGGTTAGGGTTATGTGATGGCTAACTCTTTCTATTCAAACGCCCATGCAGCTCCTTCATCGGCACCATCGTCCTCATGACCGTCGAGAACAAGAACCTCAGCACCAAGGTCGGCCTGCTGATCAGCTACTACATCACCCTCTCCTTCTGGTCCGCCCAGAACCTGTGTCTGTCCATGGTCTCGCGCAACATCGCCGGCGCCACGAAGAAGTCCACCGTCGTCGCGGCGACCTTCGTCTCGTGGGCCGTGGGCAATGCCATCGGTGAGGAGTCCTTTGCCCTTTGCCCTGCTTTTCTTTCCTTTCCCTTTCCCTTTCCCTTCCCTTTCCCTTCTTCCTACCACCCACAAGAGTATCCGAGATCCCATTCACGATTGAATGCTAATCCCGCTGGTACCGGCACAGGCCCCCAAGTCTTCCTCGCCCGCGACGCCCCCCGCTACTTCATCGCCTTCGGCGTCCACCTCGGCTGCTACTCTGCCATGACCCTCGCCGTCATCTACCTGCGCTTCCATCTCATCGCCCAGAACAAGAAGAAGGAGCGCCTGCTGCGCGAGGCCGGCGTGAGTCTGGATTCCCCCGGCGCGGGGGCCGGGGATCACCTCGCGCATGCCTTTGAGGACCGCACCGATCGCGAGAATTTGCATTTCCGGTATATCTATTAGTACATTCGAACCGGGGGTTGGGGAGGGGGTTATATGGCTATATTGGGGGCTTGGGGATGGGTTCGGTTTGGGTGGGGTTATCTAGCTTGATATAGGTTTAGTTGGAATTTTAATTGATGGGTTGTTGGTTGGGGGTTGAGTTTTGTGCTGTGTTGCGCTGTGCTGTGCTGTGCGGTAGTATGTGTGTATTTGTTAGGTCATGGGTGATGTGTTCAACGTAGCCTCTCTCCTTGATTAGATTTCTGGCGTATCGGGTGTAGGGAATACATACTACTAAGAAACAAGGGATATTTCGCTAGAAACAAAACATATCGGATCTTTCAATTCCTATTCGCCATCTTCCTACATGTCTGCCTAGCTAGTCTTAGTATAAGAACAGAACCGGTCAAACCAAGTACGCACCGTCCAACCCCCGCAAAAGCTCCCCAACAGTAACAGCAGGATCCTCCACCGCCCGACTCACTATCCGCTCGACCGCCGCCAGCTCCCTCGCCGTCTCCTCCGCCGTCCAGAACGACCCGTCATACGCGAACTTGACCCGGTACCGATCCGGCTGCGCCGTGCGGCTGACCTCGAACACCACCGCGTAGGGCTCGGCCATCCGCACCTCCGACCGCGCCATGACAAGCCACCGCTGGTACGCGTCCGGACCGGCCGTCGGCGCGGCCGGCTCGAAGGGCTGGAACAGGAACAGCGCCTCGTTCTGGTCGGCCGCGCGCGACAGGCCCGCCGCCCGGTAGATGTCCGCGATCGCGACCGTGCTGTTCTCCGTGTACTGCCAGAACGCGTCCTGCGTGCGGCGCAGGAAGTCCGTCAGCGACAGGCGCGGGTCCACGTCGGACCGCATCGGCACAAAGTTCGCGCAAGTTCCGTTGATGCCCTGCGGGTCGGGGAGGTCAATGTTGCGGCCTGTGGTGAGGTAGTCGAAGGCCACTGTCTGTTGGCCGCTGCGCCGGGCGAGCCAGAGCTGAAAGATGGTCTGGAAGAGGATGGAGACGGTCACGCCGTGCGCGCGGCTGTACTGGTCCAGCTGGGCGTGTTCGATCATGTGGAACGCAACGCTGGTGACCCGGACTTGTTTTTCTGAATCTTGGGGACGCCCCGGGGCCAGTTGAAAGCGGATGGGCCGTTTGTCGGGCTGCTGCCAGAAGGCGAGGGTCGGTTGCGTCCGATTGCGCTGCCAGATGTGCAGGGCGAAGTCTTGGAAGCTGGTGAACGGGTCGACGGGCTCGTCAAACTGGTACCTCTGGCAGTGCGCGTCGAAGACCCGCAGCAGGGTGCCGTCGTATAGGCCGTGGTCGAGCTTGATGACGACCTGCACCTCTCCATCAGCCATCCGGAGCATGCCATAGCGGATGAAGGGCTTGCCAAACTCGAACCGCTGCTGCCAGATCGCATCGAGGATGTGTGACCTTTCCTCCGCGCCACTGGCGTCGTAGAACTCCACGATCGGAGTGGCATCCGGGAGCACCACGCCATACCACTGGTCTTGATATTCCAAGAAAGTAGTACGCAGGATATCGTTGGTCTCTGTCAATCGCTTGGCCATGGCCAGCCATTGGAAGGGATCGCTATCGCGGCCCAGGGAGCGCACGGTCATCAACGACCAGAACGACTCGGGTCGCGCGCCCTGGGCGAGGAACTCGGATTGCTCCGGAGGGCATGGGTAGATTGCCTCATACGCCTCGATAGCATCTTCAACAGCAGCCGTAACTTCGGGGGGCGCGGAGAAGACAACGTCGGCTGCTGGTTGCTGGCCTTCCTGATCATCGCCATTGCGGACGAGCTGCGATGCCATCGACTCCAGCACGGGGAATCGGAGGACATCGCGCACCGCAAGGCTGTATCCCTCCTGTCGCAGACAGCTGACCAGGTTGATGGCCGCGATCGAATCGCCTCCCAGGCCCAAAAAGCTCGCCTCCAGACCAAACTCCCCGTGGGGCAGTTGGAGTACAGTGACCCATGCTTCATGCAATACCTTCTGCTCCCGGGTGACTACCGGGATCACGGCGAGCAACTGGTCCGCCCCGATGGCGTCGAAGGCAAAGGGAGTCAGCTCCACCTGGCTCAGCGCCTGGACGCGCGCCTTGAGCTGCTTGCGGTCGGCTTTCCCGGAAGGCAGGCGCGGAAAGGCAGGAAGGGGCAAGAGGAATTTGGGGAACATGTAATGGGCCAGTCCCTTCAGCTTGGTCTTCAGCCTCTGCATCTCATCGCTAACCACGTCCAGGGATAGGATCCGGTGGTTGATCCCCTCGTCGTCTGCTGCTTCCACTCCGGAACCAAAGGCCACCACCGCCACGAGATGCGCCGTAGTGTTCCTCTTCCATACCGTGAGAACGCACTCTCGGACCGCATCTGTCCGCATGATAGCCTGCTCAATCTCCCCCAGCTCAATGCGATGACCGTTGATTTTAACTTGGTCATCCTTGCGACCTAGGCACTCGATGTCGCCCCCAGGGATGTATCGGCCCAGATCCCCGCTGCGGTACAGACGTTGGCCGCCACGGATGTCGCTGTGGACAAAAGCCGCGGCCGTCGTCTCCGGTCGATTGAGATAGCCCCGAGACAATTGCGGTCCCCAGAAGCACAGCTCGCCCACTGCCCCATAGGGAACCGGGCGAACCCCATCCTGCTCCAAGATCACGAGCCCTGTGGTGGGGAACACAGTTCCGATGTTCCCAGTGCGGTCCGTCTCCGTGAAGTTCTTCATGGTTACCATAACCGATGTCTCCGTAGGACCGTACGCGTTGATGAGGGTGACTTTGGAGGCCCACGTCGCTACCACATCCGGAGTCAAGGGTTCTCCGCCCACAGTTATAGACTCCAGCGTCGGGACCGCCTGGGGGTCCAGCAACCGCGCGACGGTGGGAGTCAGGAAGAGATGGTTGACTCCCATGTCCCGAATGACGCCGGCCAGGTCTCCCAGGAGGCGTTCCGGCGAGGCCAGACAGACGGTTCCACCGCTGTGCAAGGTCGCAAAGATATCATAGACCGAAGCGTCGAAGATGTAATTCGAGAACTGCAGTTGTTTGAACGGTCGCTGATCGCGCTTCTCGAAAGCGATAATGGACTGCATGGCCGCCGCACAGCCCCGGTGGTGGATCATCACTCCCTTCGGTTGGCCAGTACTGCCGGAGGTCTAGATGATATACGCCATTGCGTTGGGAGAAACCTCGTCCTCCGGCTGCTCCGTCGAATACGCACATAGTCTGGCTGTGTCGACCAAGACCTGAGGAATTGCCTCTTCCTCCTTCGCTTTCTCGGGCTTAGAGGCGAAGTATGAGGCGTGCTCCGTCTGGGTCAGAATCACGCGGGCACCGATATCACGAACAATGAAAGCGTTGCGCTCAACTGGATTCTCAGGACTCAAGGGCACATAAGCCGCCCCGAGCTTGAGCACCGCCAGGATGGTCGTGATTAGAACAGGCGACTTCTCCAAGAGGATCGGGACTAAGTCCCCGGAGGACACGCCACGCTCGGACAGGAAATTGGCCATTCGGTTGGCCAACTCATTCAGCTCGGCGTAAGTCAGAAGCTTTTCATTTTCCCAGTTGACCGCGACTCGGGATGGGTACTCGCTCGCAATGTGCTCGAACTGGCCTTGGAGGGTCCTCGGGGCCGGCAGAGTGTCTTCGTTCCAACCGAGCAGCAAATCCAGTTCCTCCTCGCCGAGTAGGTCGATGGACTTGACAGCACGGTGGGGAGCCTCAATGATGGTTTGAACCGCACGGCAGTACTGCTCGATGATGAACTCAAGCTGGCGTACCTCCAAGGCGCCGACAAGCGTCACCTCGATCCCCGCCGCTCCCTCCTCAATATTCAACGTGGTGAACTCGGTCTTCCAAACTGGATTTGGGCCGAACTGCTGGAATACTTCCTCCGTTAAGGCCTGTCGCCCAGGCCCTCGGACAAGGATATTGACCAGGGTGTCAAAAAATTCCCCATCGCCTTGGTGGCCAGCAGCAGAGAGCGCCCCACGGATACCTGCGTGTGCGTACTTGGTGGTCTGCCAAATATCGGCATTCACAGCCTGAACAAGCTGGACCAACGACTGCTCGGGGTTCACCCTGACCGCCAGAGGCGCCACCGCGAGGGTTGGACCATCAAGTCGGTCGATCCCGGCCAGCGGCTGCTCTCTCCCGGACATGACCGTCGCCATAGTGACGGTTTTGGAGGCCGTATAGGATGAGAGGATCAAGGCCCATGCCGCATACAGGATGGCGCTTTTGGGAGCCTGGAGGCCGGCGGCCGCTGCCCGGAGGTCGACTGGAAGGGTTCGAGTCACGACCGATGTTTCGACCACCGGAGAGTGGTTGAGAATTGTCGGATCCACATCAGCCAGATACTGCCTCCAGAACACCTGCGATTCCTGCTCGTGGCGTTGTTGCTGCAACAGGGCGACGAATGATCCCCAGGGGACCCGGGCCTCCGGAGCCTGGCCATGGTACAAGCCCGCGACATCGTCGAAGAGGAATCCATGAGACCAGAAATCAAAGAGGGCGTGATGCACAGAAACCACTAGCAGTCCTCCATTGAGAACCGCAGCTCGCATAAAAGGCTGGCCAAGCGTGACCCCTTCCTTCTTGTCTCTCGCCAGATACCGAGAGAGAGACATTGTCCCCTCCAGCCAGCGTAGTTGAAAGTCGGTGCGCACCACCTGTGCAAACCCTGGAATAGCTGCAACGAAGGTGGAACGGAGGAGATCGCTGTGCCAGAAGGCCACCCGGAATGCGAGCTGTAGCCTTACCAAGTCAAGATGACGAACGTCGAAGACGCGCTGGTAGAGGTATTCGGGGTTTCCCTGGAGTGTACTGGCGAGAATTCCTTCCTGCAAGGCCGTCACAGGGAATGCATCTACCGCTCCTCTGTCGGCCATGAGTCTGTCCTTAAGAGTTGTATCGGTCAAGAGGGCAAATGGCTCAGGCGCCTTGGGTGCACCAGAGCTGCTGGTATCACCGCTGACTTTAGCTGCATCGGCGACGTCCTCCGCGGTCTGAGACTGCATCATGTCCGCGAGTTGAACATGGACTCCTCGGGTCCGAAGGTCTCGAATGACCTGGATTGCCTCAATAGAACTGCCACCAAGAGCGACGAACGAATCGGTCGGTAAGATGGACGCTGCATGAACATGGAGATGTTTGGCCCAAACATCTACGATTTCGCGTGCGATCTCCGTAAAGACATGTTCCGACCCATTCAATGAGGTAGCATCCCGACCCAGAAGTTCTTCCATAGGAGTGAATTCAGCAGCCTTCCGGATCGCGCGCAGATCGATTTTCCCGTTGCCGTTGACGGGAAACTCCTGGCACTGTAGCCAGTAGCTAGGCATCATGTACGAGGGTAGCTCGCGCCGTGCCTGGTCCCGGAGACTCCGGACGAGATCTACCCAGCCCATCTGAGGCCCTGGAATGACAGCTGCGACCAGAGACAGTTTGTCATGGATGTAGGCTCCAACACACACAACCTCTACAGCCCCGTCTCCAGTGCGCAGCACCGAAGCGACCTCCCCCGGCTCGACGCGCTGGCCATGAATCTTGATTTGCTGATCAATCCGGCCCAGGATCTCAAAGGAGCCGTCGGAATGATGAACCGCGAGGTCTCCCGTGCGGAAGACAATGTTGCTGAGACTTTCAGGATCCCTGAGAAATGCTGCAGCTGTTTCCTCGGGTCGAAGGTAATAGCCATCAGCTACCTGTGGGCCTGAGAGACAGAGCTCCCCAGGAGTACCCGATGGCAATTGTTGCGTCGTGCCGGGTTCCCAGATCATGGCTTTGGTGGTGTCGATTGGACGTCCAGGGCTGCGGGCATTATCGCCCGGTTGCAGCCGGCGGGAGAAGTTGAGCTGCGCACATTCACTCAGCCCATACGAGACGCGAAGATGCACCCGACCAGCCCAGGCCTCTACCAGACCTGAGCTCAGTGGCTCTCCGACGGTGGTTACTTGCTGTAGAGAAGTTGGGATTTCTGTGGGAGAGAGTAACGACAATGCAGACGGGGTAATCCCCAGCGCATCGACCTTGAGGTTCTTCAGCACTGCCGGCAGTGCTGCGGCCAAGCGATCCCGTCGGGCCAGACACAGGCACGCGCCCTTTGCAAGGGTGGCCAGAACGGTTCGTTGTGCGGCGGAAAAGACGGGGTTGTAGAAGAGCAACCACCGGCGGTGTCCTCGCAAGTCAAATTGACTGATCCCAAGGGAGGCCGCCCGGTGGCTGACCATTACCCCTTTTGGGTTTCCCGTAGATCCTAAGACAGTGAAGATTAGCTTGCAAGCCTATATAGAGAATTGGATAATGGGGCAGGACAGTAGGGCACAACTTACCGGAGGTGTATACCAGGTACGCCAGGTTTGATGGCGTGGTCCCAGATGTTTGCTGGGATGTGGTCGAGGTAGGCTCTGCCAGGAGAGCTTCGATGGCATGAGCCCGAGTGAAACTCCCAACATACCTATCATTCACCATCACATAGGGTGCACCACAGTCGTCGGCAATTCTTTGATTTCGTTCGGCCGAGCCTGCGGGGTCTAGCACCACGTAGGCAGCCCCGCGGAGCATGATAGCTAATAGCGAGGCGACAAAGACAACTGTAGGATTCATACACACCGGAATGATATCCCCCGGAGCAAAGTCGGCCTTGGCCGCAATCTGCTCGACGAGCTGCCAGAGCTCGCCATATGTGTAACCCCTGTTGTTCTCTTCCTCCACCGCAATTACTTGAGGGTTCTGCTGCACCTGGTAAAGAATCAAGTCGGTGACCAGGCAAGGGGCTTGTGGAGCCTTGGATGGGAGAGAGATCGGCTTGACCGGTCCATCCAGGACCGTGTCTCCAAGACTTGCTTGTGCAACGGGAGACATGCTGTGACTCCGTCGATTAAACGAGGAATGGCAGAAAGAAAAGCCTGGTAGTGTTGCTTGTTGTTCAAGTCAGGGCTGGGCTTCCTGAGGAGCTTTTATATATTGCCGTCTTGCTGAAAATCTCCGACTCACGCAACGAACTCGATTCAAGACAACATCCAGGCATCGCTTCCTTCGCTTCATCTTCAGCCGTGTATTGCTGACAGCTGAAAATCTCCGACTCACGCAACAAATTCGGTTCAAGACAACATACAGGCATCGCTTTCTTCGCTTCATCTTCGGCCGTGTATTGCTGACAGCGTTCAATCCACGCAATGGACTTGATCGAATTCAGCTTCAGCCATTCCTTTCGGTGGAATCCGGCTGACATTCTTCCGACCATCCCAATGAACTGGGACTAATTCAGTTTCCAGGCATCGCGGCCTCCGCTCCAATTCGGTCGGTCGTATATTGCTGACACTTGTTGACTCACACGATGAGGTTGATTGAGCGAGGTCACAGAATCCAGGAATCGCTTCCTTCGCTGTCTTCGCTGCCTTCCAGCCGTGTACCATCGTCATCGCCCGACTCACAAGGTGAATTGCAACTGGTCAGCATGGCCATGCTTGGAGCAGCCGGCTCGAAGAAGACCAAGGTATACTAATTCCTGCACATAAGACAATAGGCGATTCCTTTACTGCCTTACGGCCGTAAACAGTTGACACCGCCCGACCCACAATGGGAACTGCAACTGGTCAGTGCGGCAATGCTTGAATCAACCGGCTCGAAGAAGACCAAAGTATACTAATTCCTGCACATGAGGCATCAACCACAAGACAACAATACAGTTGGGGGCGGAAATGTCGTGACTGAAGTCATGCTTGGTGCCAGTCTTCTCGAATCAGCTGCGAAAATCAGGTATAAAATCCGACTTGAAACTCGGGCACAGCACTAGGAAGAGTACATAGTCCAAAGTACAGTACACTGCTGCCTGCGAGTACACAACCCCCACCCACCCTTTCAAACCTTTTTAATTTGCTCTCGACAAAAGATAACCATGGCCGAAGCCCTCGTCATCCCCTTCGAGAGCGCACAACCTCTCGATAACCTGCATGTCGAAACCCTGCCGCTCCCGACCTGCGGACCACGGCAGGTCCTGGTGCGATTCCTGGTGGTTCCCGTCAATCCCTTGGACTTTGCCGTGATCGCAGGCCAGTACCCAGTGAAGCTGCAGAGTGTCTATAACAGTGAGAATGGGGTCCAACACGCCATTCCAGGATCGGATGGCGCGGCCCGGATCCTGCAGACAGGGGCGGAGGTCGACCACCTCGCGGTTGGTGATCTTGTCATCCTGCGCACGCATTGTCGGGGCACGTGGAGGACTCATGGCGTCTTCGACGAGGCCGATCTCATCCGCGTGCCATCCACCACCGACCCTTGCGTGGCCTCCCTGCTCCGCATGGGCGTGGCTCCGGCCTTCTTCCAGCTACGCGACTACCACACGCTGGAGCCGGGAGACTGGATCATTCAGAACGCGGCCACCGGCACGATCAGTCACTTCGTCTGCCAGTTGGCGCGGCTCCTGGGAGTGCAGGTCATCAGCGTCATCCGCGCTCGCGCCAACGCCGAAGAGCTGGAGCGAATGAAGCGGTTGCTCCGCTCCCACGGGGCCTCACTAGTGCTCACACAAGAGGAGCTCGCCGCGCCGCGGGTCCTCGAAGGGAAGCGGATTGTTCTCGCCATTGACTCGGTGGCCGACGATGCGTTAGTGCGGACGATGGCAGCGGCCATGACCGCTGGAGGCACCGTGCTGACCGCGGGGTTCCTGGGAGAGGCGGCCCCCCCTCGACCGGAGGTCAACCTCCGGCAATTCCTGTGGCAGAAAAACATTAGCCTGCGACCTTTTCGACTGAGCGATTGCCTCAGCAAGCGCAGTCAATCGCAGCAAACGGCACTGTTCGAGTGGTTTGCGGGCCTGGTCGGCCGGGGGACTCTGAAGGCGCCCGCATTGAAATTTCTGCATTGGCAAGCTGGAGCCGAAGCGCAAGAGGTTGTGGCTGCCGTGCAGGGTCAGGCGCAGACAGTGATTGGCCAACGTAAAGCAGTCATCATCGTCGGCGAGAGATGATGGAGCGATGGATGCAGGACGGCGTCGTGCCTCTGTAATTGACCCTGGCATGGATATTACCAATCTTTTCCTGTGACTCTCTCCGTATGTGCAATTGAGGATGAAATAAAGTAATTTCGAAATTCTCGTTTAAGATGACACAATCAAGCCTCGCCAAGTCCGTCGATCCGCGGATATGCCTCGCAATGGAGTAAGCACTAGCAGACACTAGTCCGCAGACAATGGGCAGGGAACTCATTTCCATGTGCAATGAGACAGATCCGCTGCGGTCAAATCCGGCACTAGAGTCCACAGAATCGCGGGGATCAGATTCCCGTAAGCCCACACTAAGCCTAGACGGTTGGCAGTTGCTTAGCTCTTTCCCCTGGATGCGCGATCAGTCCATGTAGCTCAGAATAGGTTCCATCACGCAATTCTTACGGCCTGGCGAGTCACAACAGACCAACTTTGCAGACTCGGTGTTGTAAGCCCGACAAACAGCTCCTCGCTGACAAATTCAAATCCTCAAGGCATCGTAGATGGCTTCCCTATAATTGAACTCTCCAGGTAGCGAGTGTCTTGTTCGGCATCACCCGCATGCTTCCCTCCCACACTGACTGCACTCTGACGCCATGTCTCAATCCTTGAGCACGAACCCGGACGACAAGCCCTCCTCTCCGTCCGCTGTTCTGATGGCCGATTCTGAAGCCTCAGAGACGGAGAAGCAGGCGCCCGCCAAACCGGCGGACACGGCTCCCCCGCCGCCGCCCGATGGTGGTGTGACCGCGTGGCTGCAAGTCGTCGCGGCGTTTTTCCTGTTCTTCAACTCTTGGTAGGTGGTCCCCCCGGCTGCCGTTGCCGAAACAAGAATGTTCCATGGCTCATGGTGCTAAACAACCTTTCCTGCCGCGTAGGGGTCTGCTCAACGCCTATGGAGTCTTCCAGAGCTACTACCAGTCAGACTTGATCCCCGGCTACTCCTCGTCGGCCATCACCTGGATCGGCACTGTGCAAGGCTTTACCTTGTTGCTGGTCGGGGTGATTGTTGGACCCATCTTCGACAAAGGGTATCTGCGTAGCATCGTCGCTGTGGGGACTTTCATGGTGGTGTTCGGGATGATGATGACCTCACTCTCGACCAAGTACTACCAACTCTTCCTGGCGCACGGAGTCACGGTCGGCATCGGCTGTGCCTTCCTCTTCCTACCCAGCATCGCCATCGTGGCCACCTACTTCACCTCACGCCGCGCCGTGGCCACGGGGATCACGGCGTCCGGTGGCAGCATTGGCGCGGTGATCTACCCGATCATGTTCCACAAACTAATCGGCCCGGTGGGGTTCGGGTGGACGACGCGCATCATCGGGTTCGTCGCGCTAGCCGGGCTGGCCATCTCGTTGGCGGTGCTCAAGCGGCGCCTGCCGCCGCCGGCGCAGAGCCGAAGCCTGGTCGACGTCACGGCGCTCAAGGAGCCGCCGTTCCTCGTGTTTGCCTTTGGCCTGTTCTTCAGCTTTGTGGGGCTCTACTTCCCCTTCTTCTACCTGCAGAGCTTCTTCACCTACTACCTGCACAATGACAGCAGCCTGGCCTTCTATATCTTCGCCGTGCTCAACGCCGCCTCCGTGCTGGGCCGCATCACCCCGGGTCTCCTGGCGGACCGCATCGGGGGGCTGAACACCCTGGTGCCCATCAGTCTGCTGGCCAGCATCCTGGCCTTTGTGTGGATCGCCATCCAGAACGAGGGTGGCACCATCGTCTTCACCTTACTGTACGGCTACGCCTCTGGGGCGATCGTCTCCCTGCCGCCCTCGATCCTGACGCGCATGTCGCCGACCCTGGGCGTGGTGGGCACGCGCCTGGGCATGATCTTCATGTTCGCTGGCTGCGGGTTTCTGATCGGCACGCCGATCGCCTCGCTGCTGCTGAACCTGGAGGAAGGATCCTTCTGGAAGGCTCAGCTTTTCAGTGCTATGTTCGTCGCCGCCGGAACCATCTGCTTCGCCATCGTGCGGCTGATGCTGTGGCGGCAGGGCGGAGGCTGGAAGATTTGAAGGGGGTGTAGGTGGATTGCATAAGCCAACCTCATAGATTCAATTCTCTACGGTGGCTTTGCATCTGAGACAACTGTTGTGGTTGACTGTGGGTGATCAGCCTATTGCATCTATAGACTAAGTAGAGACGAAACTCCATGCAAGCTGGAGGGAGCCGGGAGGAGCCGCCAGTGCTTCTGACACACGAGAGCGACAAGGCAGCTGCCTGCAGTCAAACTGGTTTGGCAAAAAGAGCTAAGTATGATATCACTTGATCATGCTTTGCGATTGAAGACATTGTTCAAAATACGATGAAAGTACAGTGAACTTTTGGCATGTTAAGTGGGTGCGAGAGGTGAGAGATAACGTCGGAAAACAAGAAGTGAGCCTCGGTACTAAGGGGTTCCATAGCCACCGCTACGGCAATCTGCTACGGCCGCCTCTTTGGACCAGAGACGTCATCAACATGCTCATATATCCAGGTGCAATACGTCAAAATGTAGATTCAGCTTTTCCCCTGCATATATCAATGTAAAAATCTGATCCCTATTCCGTGTCGCTTGGCGTACGGTTCAAAGTGTGTCTATTATGTCTTCTAACCTGGACAGAACTCTGGCACTTTGTATTCTACACTAACTAGCATATGCATCGCAGAAGCGTACTTTGTCGATGACATACTTCTGAGAGCTTATGGGGTTATTCTATTCATAATCCTAGCATCTGTATCTCTAAATTCCTATACAAATGTCTAATATAGATTAGGTAGAGACTTTTTCAAGTGGATATAGCCTACTTCAATTAGACATTACTATATATACCGCCAATGACCAAGCCCTAACAAATCATATGCAAATAGACTAGGACAGTCTAATTTGCATAGTGAGAAAAGTGCCTCGGAGTTGGAGGTTTCAAGCTGGCTGTGAACGGCTATATGCAGTCCTTAAGAGTTTGAAACTAGTTTTGATCATGGAGAAGATTGGTTTAGAATCCTTTAAACCGCCGGAAGGATTATGCTCAATTGGTCGTAGTGGCAATTAATGTGATATTATTTCTACCAACCTCACACAGCTGTTGGCAAGCCAGCTCACAAATAGTAATATGTCAGTCATAGATGAGTTGAAATTATAGATAGTTCTCGTGATGCAATCACTATATTTGATCTAATTACCAAATCTACTTTTGACAGCTAAGATTTACCTTGATTGCCAATGGTCATAATTGGTTGTTTTAGTTATAACCTGTTTTATATCAGCTGTACCTTATTACAACTCTGACCCTCGTCCAAGTCCGCAGTCTGATATGGATTCGGAATCCCAGATATGATGCCAAGGATTCGATGGCACCACTTCTAGTATTCGATTCTTCTTCAATAGCATGGCTTCGATGTATAATTGGACGGCTCCGAGTATTCGGAGTATGCATTCGTTGCAAATACTATGGACTAACCACTTCAAAGCTAATATACCTTCCACTATAGCCGTGCCACCTCCCGGTCCAAGTCATACTCCCCTACCAATACCTCGCCGCACGTGGCGCCCGTCACGTACGCGGTCGCCTGCGTATGGTTGTTCGTCAACACCGGCACCACACTCATGTCCGCGATGCGCAGGTTCTCCACCCCCAGCATCCGGAAGTGGCTGTCCACTACAGCGTCGGCCTCCCCCGGGCGACCCATCTTAGCCGTCCCCGTCATGTGCCAGCTCGACCCCAGCGTGTTCTTCCAGTGCTCCAGGATATCCGCGTCCGAGTCCGACGCCGGCGCGATCACCGTCTCGACCACATCCTTCTGGAAGGATGGGTGGCGGGTCACCTCCAGCGCATCGCGGAAAATCTCGATGCAGGCGCGGCGGTCGAAGTCATGCGACAAGAACTTAGGATCGAACAACAACGGAACGTTGGGGTTGGATGACTGCAGTCGCACCTCGCCGCTGGATTGCTCGTTCATCAGGAACACCAGCATGCAGATGTAGCTGTAATCCGGCGGCCATTCCGGCGCCACGAGATGCAGGGGAAAATGCGTGAGGAACTCGTAGTGCGGGACCGTCTTGCGTTGCAGGAAGTCTTGCACGTCGGTGGGAAGAGCCTGGAATTCTGCCGTCCGCACCAGCCGGTTGGACTTGAGCCAGCCGGCGGCGATCTGGCACGAATGCCGCGCCCAAGGCCCCGTACCATCCTTGTTCCATTGCGCCATGGCGGTCTTCATGGCGGCTTGATCGTTGAAGAATGCATTGCGGTCGTTGGTTGCGGGATCGCGTTTGAAGCACAACGGGGCGAAGAAATGATCCCGCAGACCCTTGCCCAGGGCAGGGATATCCTGACGGACGGGGATCTGGAACTGCTGAAGTTGGTCGGCAGGCCCGAGACCTGAATGCATCAGGATGCGCGGCGTGTCCAATGAGCCTGCGGTCAGAATCACTTCGCAGGAGGCCAAATCTGCAGAGGCGCGTTAGCTGGGTACTTATGTACTTCATGCAACAACCTAAGCATACACTGTCTTCCGTTTGACTCCACACCTACAGCCTTGGTCCCCTCCAAAATCACCCGCTGCACGGGCGCTTCCGTGATGATCGTCAAATTGTCCGGTACACCCTCGAGAAGATCCGTCGCGGTCACTCTACGACCGTTGTGAGATGAGTTAATGATCAAGCCCATGCCGATCGGGTCGCCCGAGTTGTGGTCCGGGTTTCGAGCCAGGCCCGCCTGCTCGAACACGTCCAGCATGAGCGGGAGATCCTGCTCCCACTCACGAGCAAAGCCCACCCGCAAACCACCAGTAGATCCGTGATTCAAGGCTTGGGGAGACGCGTATTTGACATTTTTCGGGTCAACGATAGCGCCATCAAAGGTCTCGAGGCCGCAGAATCTCCTCCTCATCCGATCCCAGCCAAAGGCCTCGTCTCCGACAAGGGCGGCCCACTGATCATAATCGTCACGGGCGCCCACTGTGTAGACGCCAAAATTGATTGCACTACTGCCTCCGAGCACCTTGCCGCGCGAGTAATCGATCTGTCGTCCATTGCAGTGTTCCTGGGGCGTGGTTTTGTAACCCCAGTTCAGATCTCCTTGGAGAAACGTCGACCATCGCTGACCATCCACGCGGAGAGAAATATCCTCATTCCGTGGGCCGGCTTCCAGCAGCAGGACTCGTGGGTGTTTAGCGGAGCGAGCGAGCGTCGAAGCAAGGGCACAGCCCGCCGGACCCCCTGCCTCCAGTCAGTCGGTCGAGCAAACGACGATCCTCATGGCACTCACCCCCGACAACGACGAACTCCCACGTATGGTTCATCGGCGATTCCTGGTTCAAAATCAAGAGCTGAGTGTCGTAAGTCTCCAAACCGATTGAAACAGAAGAAGCAAGTTTCAGTTTGCGCAGCTTAATTTCAATGAGCAGTGGCACCTCCGCACTGCCGGGTGTCCTGGTTTAAGAAGAGCTGGCGCAAAACCGTGCTTGACTAGCGAGTCAGGGCTTTGGATACGATCGACCAGAGGGGACAAAGTCTGACCCCGCTCGTCCTACAACATCGGCACTGATTATGCTATCAGTTTTACGACGATTCTCCTTTTTGGGGAATTGCGGCGGTGAGGGGAGATGTTCGACGGCGATTATCGTGTGCAACAAAGGCTGTCGGGGCGATCGTCACCTTCAATCATCCATGACCCACTTGGTGATCGAGAGCATGAGCCTGAAGATGAGCCGGACCAAGGAAGATCGTCACTCATGAGAGACAACGATGGGGAAGATGGAACCGCGCCAAGGTATGAGAGCTCCATTGTTGAGAAATCATCCATGACGATCCGCGGCATCACGACTAGTTTCCCCGCACCGCCTTGGCAAAGAGATGGATGCACACGGTATTATTCATCTCCCACCCCCAAAACCTGACTTGAGAATCCCGGTGGTTCGAGATTAAGTTTCCCTGCGCGCGTCAGGACCCGGGAAGTGCATCGTGGAGAAATGGCCCAATAATGGGGCACTCTCTCAAGTATCGCACTGAACGCACTGAACGACAAGCACTGAAAGCGGCCCGGGAAGTATTTGCACTGCTCTGAGAGATGCATCATCTTCTTAACCTTATACTCTACCAGGCATATTGGTTGCGAAGTATGTCGATGGTCTTGGTGCGATACCATCATAAGCTGGCTCCATGGCGTCAAACCAGACTCGGCTGTTTCAAAGGATGATATGTTGCGGCTGCTAAATCGTGCCGGGTCGCATTCGAAAAGTTTGGAGTGAATAATAACCTCAATAATGACCTTGAAACAAATAGCCAATCGAGTCGCAGTCGCTGAGATGGTGCATGAGAACGGGGCACCGATGGGTCCACATCATCACAAGCGACCATAGCACCGGAAAGATGGTTGAGCTGTCTCCACGAAGAACACGGTGAAGTTATGCTCAGTCCTCTAAGAACTACAGTCTTGGATGGGGCCGACATTGGAAATATGTACTAACAAGTTCCAGAGTGTCTGATCACTCGGGTGCTCGTCGCAACGCAACAACCTTCTCCGGCTAATAAGATTCAATCCTCAAATTGATAGTAAGGATGTGGCATCTCAAGGGAAATCATCGCCCCTGCGAGATCCTAACACCGTGTCTGTGACAAGGACCATGTCTTTGAGTCGAGATCAGCATCCGCCAATTATAGACTGCAAGGGCTGTCTTTGTAAGATTAGTGGGAGAGGCTGGTATGAGCGGTGTCGTGCTGTAACATGTGTAAAGCATTTTCATGTCATGGTACCTGCAGAGCGTGGCCTTCGCGTGGTAAGTTGTGGATCAGTGTCGAGACCCTTACGGTGTTCGTCCAAGGGGGACGGTTCTAGGCCTGGAGACTGGGTAGACTGGGTGCATCGATTAAGAGTCAATGCCAGGCGGGGCCCCGCAGGCTAATGAAATACAATAATTTCACTGATCGGGCGCATTTGACCTCTTTGAATCTTTGAGTAAGTAGACTGGCTCACACATTTCGCACTACATATGTCCATTAGACTTTTGCGACAATCATAAAGTTATCCCTTGACATATGGTGGCCCACGCTATCGATCGAGCCCTGGCATCGGGTGAATCCGACGGACACCATGGAATGGAATCAAGGTTGAAACACGGAGAAATCTATCTTGGCGACATGTAACTCTTTTGAAGGAGAGTCAGGAGAGTCAGGAGAGTCAGGAGAGTCAAGGTCTCGGACGAGAAGCGAAGGCGAAAACAAGGCGTAGATATTTCCGAATCGATCCAGAAAGCGAAGAAGATGGGAGAAGGGAATGGATCATGGATGGTGAAGAGGGGAGAGAACCAGGGAAAAGGCACGGCTGCCAGCCATGTGACTGGCTCGGCCTGAGTAACGAGGCACGCCAGTGGCTGGCCTGGTCTCTCAGGCCCGGCCTGTCTTCTTCATTCCAGGAGAAATCATCATCATCGCCCATCATAGGCTCAATAATCAATCAATCCTTCCTTCCCAACCCCGGACTTTCTCCCCTCCCTCCCCCCTCCCCTCCCCTCGCTCTGCCTTGATATTCGTCCTACTGTCTGCTCTTCTCTTTTCCATCCTCTTCTCAATTTCCACTGAACCTTCAATTCACCTTCTCCCCGGTTTACCCTCCCGCCGCTCCTCGCATTCCGGTTTCTTATCTATCGCGGCCATCAGTTTACAGTGTACAGTACAAATAGCCGGTGGCGACTGGTCTTTACCCCTCCCGTCGTCTGGAGTGGGAAGGGGGATCGCTTTCGATCTTCTCTCTCCAGTTCCTGTTCCAGACTTCCTCTCTCCTTTCCCCGGTCGGAACTCCTTTTCCTCAAATCTCTTGCTTCCCCTCCTCCCTTGGGGGATTGAGTTCAAATAAACCTTCCAGCAGCGCCATCTCACAGCCTGTCTCCAATCCTCACTTGCGTCGCGTTCATCCGAGGCCGCCCGTTCTCCCCCTTCATTCTGCAGGAACGCCAGCATTTGCCGCCACTGCGTTTCCCCTGCCACTAGCGCACCGTTCAGGCACATAAATAGAAACCTTCAGCTGCTGGGAGGGCGAACCTCGCTGCTATTCGGACTTTTAAGACGCTCGGACAGCACTGGTTGAGGTTCAAGCAAGAGGCCGTTTCCTCACCCTACCCGACCAACCCGGGTGGTCGAGCGTATTGCGCCCGATCAGCTGGTCCGTCGTCAGGTCTGGAACAACTAAAGTATGCGAATGAGACTGCGCCTCGACCCTCCAGGCTTCCCATCCAACTCCTGCGCTGCATTGTCCCTGACCATGGCTCTCTGGAATTGTCAAGCGGGCCAACGTTAGTTTCGCATATTATACTGCTGTGCCTGACCCTGTGCCCCGGGACCTCACGATATTTTCGCGATCCACAGTTACCAGTGCCTCTCCCGCCCTTTTGTCGAACGGCGACCGGCAGCCGTGGTGGTATCAGCGTCTTTCCTTTGTCGTCATGTGGGACTCTCTCTCCAACCCACCGGAGGGCCTCATCGGAGGTTACCAAGGGTCCAGCCTCGTGATCAAGATCTTGATGGCTGTCTTCAGTGCCATTGCCCTCTACAATGCAGTCGAACTCGTTATTCTCATTTTCCTCACTTTCACTCGCTACAGTGGACTCTACTTTTGGAGCATGCTTCTGTCCGACGTACTCGGGGTCATTCCCCACGCGGTTGGCTATTTGCTGGAATTTTTCGCGGTGGGCCCATTGTGGTTTGCGGTCACTCTTTCGACAATCGGTTTCTACTTTATGGTGCCTGGCCAATCCATTGTGTTATATTCTCGTCTTCATCTGGTGGTACAAAGCCAAACGACCCTTCGACGTGTTCTCGCCATGATCATCATTGATGCAATTATCCTCCTCATTCCTACGACTGTCCTTACCTATAGCACTATTTACATTGGCTCCACGGCGATCATCAGAGGGTACAATGTGATGGAGCGAATGCAGCTGGCCTGGTTTTGCGCTCAGGAGATTCTCATCTCCGGCATCTACATTGTTGAAACAATCAATTTACTCCGGTTGCGGCCGGAAAAGGATCCGCAACGACACAAGAGCATGTACGAGTTGATTGCGATCAATATGGTCATTGTCTTGTTGGATGTGTCCCTCCTCGTGCTGGAGTATGTGGGACTGTACACCCTCCAGACCACGCTCAAGGCCGCTGTCTACAGCGTCAAACTGAAGCTGGAGTTTGGAGTATTGCGGAAACTTGTCTCGCTCGTCAACACCCGCCCGTCAGAATCCAGCTCGACCGACCAGGATGACTTCCCGAACTTCGTGGACCCAGAGCAGATCACGGGCGATGTCACGCGAGCAGCTCCGCCCAGCGCGCACACGCAGTCGCGATATCCCTGGACAGCCCTTTCCATGGACAGCCTAGCTTTGTCCGAGCGTAGAAGGCCCTTGTCGCAGTCATCGGAGGCTCCCCGGCCTCCTTAATGTATGGCACAGGCCACTATTGAAGTTGATCGCCCAAGCGTGAGACAAAAGTACGTTTCAGGGGAGTTGACTTGCATCCCTCTGTGACCTGTCATAGCCGTTCCCGGGGTTGCGACGTGGCTATTGAGATCTAGTTCCTTCGAACCCCTAAACAGATCAGGTGTTCGGGAATTGACTATGCCAACTGAGCTGAATGTCCTCCCAAGGCGACCTGCCAAGCGTGCCCACTGGGTCGCCTAGTTTGCCCGATTGCTTCGGTCCGAACCCCATGCCTGCCCGGGATGGTCCCTGCGACACGCCCAGGATTTGCGGGAGTTCTTGGCCCAAGCGCCGACATGACTGGGACTGCGCGATTCTTCTTTGGGCATGGCTACTGCATACGCCTTTGCCCAAATTGAGCGACGGGAAGGGACAATCGGTCGAGAAGCCGGTTTGTGTATACCTTGTATAGACTTCGCACCAGTCATATTGTACATATCATTTCTGTAAATCTAGTGGTGTGCTTTTGCATATACCCAATCTAGATCCATTTCAGTTGCATCTTAATGTTTATCTAGACGGTCTGACATCTGTCATATTTAATAAGTTGATCTTCCTTCGTTAGATTAACTCGTAGAAGAACTAAGGGGGCAAAAAAGAGGCTACCGAAGATGGCCTTGGGTGGATGAGGTAACTTGCCATAGATGGCAAATTATTACTGTGGAGTGTGGACTGACAGAGTAATAATAGGAGGCACTAAGAAAAATGATGCAAAAGTACCGTCAAAGCCCGGCGGCGCTGGAGAATGCATCGGACCCGAGCCCGAGCCGTCGGGAAGGGTGGACAGATCGAAATCGAAATCCTTAGCGTCGGGATTTAAGGGAAGCAGAATCGGATCCGCTCAT